GTTACATAAATAAAGAAGCCTAATTATTCACCCCTCCCCAAATTAAGTAAATAAAGAATGACAGCTGATTAAAAAAAAAATCTAAAACAGTCCCATGTGGTTAATGTCTGGCTACCATACTGTCAGTGCAATTTTATAAAAATCTGACTAGGGTTTCTCTGGCTGTTAAGGAGACTGTGTTAGATTCATTCTCTGGGGTGGGGATGAGGTGGCGGGTATTCAGGACGGCTGAGCAAGGTCCTCCCCACCTCCCCTCACACGGCCCCCTTTCTTTCCGCAGCAGACCTGCGCGGTCTGTCTGGAAGACTTCAAGGGGAAGGATGAGCTGGGTGTGCTCCCGTGCCAACACGCCTTCCACCGCAAGTGAGTGTCCACAGTGAGGGGGTGTGTCCAGGCATGCCTTTTATTTTTTCATTTTTATTTATTTTTTATTTCTTTATTGAAGTATAGTTGATTTACAGTGTAAATTTACACTGTAATCACGCAAAGTGATTCAGTTATATATATATATTCTTTTTCAGATTCTTTTCTATTATAGGTACAAGATGTTGAATATAGTTCCCATTTGGTTCCCTATGCTGTACAGGAGGTCCTTGTTGTTTATTTTATATATAGTAGTCTGTATCTGTTAATCCCAAATTCCAAATTTATCCCTCCCCTCACCTTTCCCCTTTGGTAATTATGTTTGTTTTCTATGTCTGTGAGACAGTAAATCATTGTTTAGATTCCATATATAAGTGATATATGGTATTTGTCTTTCTCTGTCCAACTTAGTGTGATAATCTCGAGGTCCATCCACGTTGCTGTAAATGGGATTATTTTATTCTTTTTATGGCTGAGTAGTATTCCATTTATTTATATGTATGCACACCACATCTTCTTTATCCCTGCATCTGTTGATGGACATTTATTTAGGCTCACCAACAGTCTCTCCTTTGGGCTTAAGGAAAGTCTTAAGAGGAAAAGGACCTGTGGGTTGTCCCATTTTCTCCTTTGCTTCTGTGTCGTCATTTCCAGCAAAAGTGGTTCCAAATTCAGGGAAGTAACGTCAGTAAGAAAATACGTGAGAGGGTTCTTTGGTCATTGCGTTTCTTAGAACATCGTTGCTTTCCTTCTGCGTTCAAAGCATATTCTAGTTTCCAGGGAAAGCATGGCCTCTTGGGGCTGTCAGCACCAGGGATGTCTTTTAAAAGAATAAGCAGGGAGCACCCTCCATACCCCAGCCCTTCCCATCTGCCCCTAACCCATGAAGCCCCACATCCCCTCTGGACACCAAGCAAACAGCGGTTAGACTGGGGCAAGGGTAGAGATGGTCTTGTTCTGAGAAGCAGCTGGGCTCTGAAAAGACAGCTGGAGCAGGCTGGTATCTTCTTAGGGAAAAACGGGTCGTCTTTGCCCACAGGTGTCTGGTAAAGTGGCTGGAGGTCCGCTGTGTCTGCCCCATGTGCAACAAGCCCATTGCTGGTCCCTCGGAGGCCGCTCAGAGCATCGGGATCCTATTGGATGAGCTGGTGTGACGGCTGCCCCTGTACTAAGGCCTGGAGAAGACCTCTAGTCTCGTGGGGGGCCTGGTCCTTCCACACGGCTGTGGTGAACAAGACTGCTGGGTGGGGACAGCCATGCTCGCCTGGAGCGGAGGGGGAGCAGGGCTGGTCTTCCAGCATCAGGGTGAGACCAGACTTGGCCCACCTCTGCCTCCTGCAGCCTTCTTCCCTGCTTACTCAGTTCTGACGGCCTCACCCATCAAGACCACTGCATCCTGGTACTGGACTGTCTCCCTGCCTTGTCCCCGCTCTGGGGAAAGCAATCCACTCCTATTTGGCCAAGAAGTGGAGCACACCCCCTGCGGGTTGCCCTGAGGGAGACAAGCTGCCCTGATCTGGAAGAAGGGATGAGATGGGCTCTGTCCCTCCTGTGACCTCCCGGCCCCTCCCCACTCCTTCCAGAGGAAGGTCAGAAGGGAAGAAAAGATGGAGGAACCAGGTGCCTCCAGGGGAACTGAGGGAGGCTCTAGAGGAAACCGGGAAGAGCCGGGACTAGAGAAGGAAAGTCAATGTTTACATGAGACCTGTGGAAACAAAGGCTGGCCGGCCGGCCTGCTGACTGCAGGGTGGTGGGGGCGGCCCCTCTGCCTGCGAGCATCCGAGGTGCTACCTGTCCCCTCTTCCTCTGTCAGTCTCAGAGCTTCCCATTCCGTGGGTGCCCCCCTCCAGAGGAAGGGCTTCTACACCCAAATGAATTCCCAGGGGTTTTTCCTAAAGGAGCAAAATGGGGCTTGGGGAGGAGGGGGCCGGAAGGTCAAGGTCGCAACGGACACCCTCTTCCCCTTTGTAAATAGTATTTTTGTACTTCATCCTCACCATCTCAGGTTTTATACATGGAATCCCCCAAACGGAAGGGGTAGGGGGTTTTCTGTTTCTCCCCCAAATGGCTGAGGGTGGGAGAAAGGTTATGTATTTAAAGAAAATTAAATTTAATAACAAGTTTCTCTAACCTTTTGCCTGTGGTTGTGGCCTGTGTCTGCTGGCCCTTTTCTGCCAGTAGGGAGAACCGAGTTCTCACTTCCCCATGCTCAGAGCAGACACACGTGCACAGAGCTTCCTAATCCTTGAAGAGATGGAATTAGATTATTATCTGGTCAGCGTAAGTTAGGACTAACATCAGTGCGCTTTAAGACCTGACTGAGCCAGGCTCATTCACTAGATTTCTACAATTTTAAAGAAAGTTGATGTATGCTATCACAGCGTTCCGGCTACCAAGACTGGTAATTAATAGAATTCACCTGGTAATTCAAGAAGTTGAGCTCTAAACACAACTAAAGGTCCAGGTTGCTACCGCTGAGGTTTGATCGCTTTCACGTATTACTTTTCTCTCACCTGCTAGCTGACAATCACTGACACATCCCACTCAGCACCGCATCTAAAAGTGATGCATTGTTAACTTTTTTATGCTCTTGTCTGCACCCGTGCCCTCCAACTTTGCTCTGTCAGTGTCTCAGAGAAGGTGCTGAATCAATGGGCTTGCAGAATGGATGGAGAGGGCCGGGAACGGTTCTCGTGGCCATCGTAAGCATGGAGCAGCAGGGCTGTGGTGCATCCCCGGGAGCGAGCCTCGGGTGCTCTGCCCAGAGGCGCATCTCTTGAGCAAAGTCTAGTGTAGCGGTGGGTTACAGACCTGCAGGAGGTGCCCAGGTGCCCAGGCACCCAGAGGAGCCAGGCCTGAAGGGGAGGAGTGATGCTCTCCCAGCCCTGCAGCTGTGGAGGCTGTCAGCACAGCTGATGCTCACGGCTGAGCAAGACCCGAGGGGCAGCTGGGGCACCTGACAGTCCTAGTGAAGTCGCCGGCACCTGTCTTGGTGTTCTTTGCCACCCCCAACCCCCGCTCCCTGCCACCAACCCTCAGGGCGGGACCTCTTTACTGGGGGCATCACTTCCTCCTCTAGGTCTGCCCACTTGCTTACACGTGGGGAATAAAATGCATTTCCCCTACCCCAGCACAACAAAGAGCTCTCCCTCCAGCTCCTGCTGGATGCACCACTGGAATGAGATGGGACACAGGTGGTCTCCAGGTGGGGCTTTAACCTCTGCAGTTCCTACTTCACCACCTCCCTTCCTCTCAAGGAAAACTCATCAGCATTGGTGTATTGTTCTTAAAACGTAGCTACTAAAATGTCCATGTTGCAAATTTGAGTGGTATTGTCCTAAAGTCAAACTGATGGTTGAAAATGCCTTGTATTACCTTCACTGCTCCAGTGCAGCTGGGTAGAATGGTATTCCAGCACAGAGACAGGAAAGCTGGCTGTTTGTTAGCTGATCAGATAGAAATTGGCAGTAGCTGATCACCAGTTAGTCACAAGTCCCAAATTCGTAGTCCTAAGTGTGGACTTGGTACTCAGTTCAGAGTTTGCAGAGCAACTGGTGCGTGGGCCAGGCCCTGTGCCAGGAGCTGGAAGACGGGGCAGCCCTTGCCTGCAGAAAGGGCACGAGCATGTTGGATTTGGGTGGGAAGCTGGGAGGACAGAGAGACCCTCAGCTCAGCTGGTGTGGAAGGGGCAGCAGGGAGGCCTGCAGGGAAGTGGCACCCGAGCTGGGGCTTGAGAGTCAGGTAGACAACAAAGAGCAAACAACTGGGTGTGAAGTGGAGGAGGGGAAAGGCTAGGGTGAGGTCCTGTGCGCTGCCAGGAGCCTGGGACTTGATGGGGGGAACCCTAAAGTTTCTCTTAAAACCTGGGCACCAGTTGGGAGCTAAGCCAATGGTTTTCTTGTCTGTGCACAAAATATTCATGAGCAACGACTGTGCTTAGTACACTCCCATGACTGGAGAATGTGCGCTCTAAACGCTTTTCAGAGGGTAGAAAGCCAGGTGATAATCACACATACCCAGGTTCGGACCTCAGTGAGCCTGTCTACGGCGACCGTAGCCATCAATCCATCAAAAGATAATGAGTACTTCCCACATTCTTTCACAAAATGCATTTTGCTTTCCTTTCTGTGTATGCCCCTCGGAGTCTGGGGTCAGGAAAAGTGTTGAAAAGCAAATAAATGGGCTCACTCATAATGACACAGGTTAAGCATCAGAACCAAGGCGCAAACTCAGATCATGCAGATCTAAGCGTCCTTGGCTTCCGAGCCCCACACAGCTTTGGCGACAGACAGCTAGCTCTCTGTGAAGTACTCAAAACAGCAGGTGCTGTTGGCTCCTGGGCTGACGCAGTTGTGGAGGACAGAAACCCCAGATAACTGTCGAGTGATTCGTGTGCTCACCCTTTTCCTACATTATGGATTTTTTTTGAAACTCTGCAGCGGACGACTTCCTTTCAACAGTCTTACGTAGATCCACCATTTACAAAATGAGCAATTAAAGTCGGGGCAAGAAACCGAGAGCAGAACTGAAAATCACTGACTGAAATAGATTGGGACAACGGGTACGTTGAATAATTACACCTCCCGTGGCCCCTTCTCGCCCGTCAATTCTTCCACCTCCACAGCTTTTCCTGCTCTCACTTGGGCCTTTGATGCCTCCCCAGTGGTGCCATGTTTTCCCCGTAAGGCTCACCCAATCTCTGCCTTCCATTCTACCACCTGTCTCCCTGGGCATCGGAATAACATCTTGAGTGCCCGTGACCGCATCACTCACAGGGGAAAGTTCTGTGAAAGCCACATGCACAGGTTCAGAGGGACAGATGTGACCAAATTGGAGATGAGAAGGACAAACTGATGACCAGTCATGCAAGCTTGTACAGACAAAGCTGTCCATGGGGAAAGAGCCAAGCTGCTTACCTGTTTCGCCCCAGGCCAACAGCAGTGCTGGGCTCCTACTGAGCCTATTCTAAAAAGGCTCATGTGCCTTTAGTTCCTTCCCCTTTAACCTGGCAGACTCTAGACCGGGAGGACATCACCGATGCCACCTTTGTGCTCTGGCATGGCCCTTGATTCTGTCTCCATGTGACAGTCTCAGCTGCAAACTAGTACCTGTGCTCTGCAGCGAGGGGCAAACTCAGCACCAGAATGCTTGTGAGCGTTCTGCATGGTTCTCATCCCCTCTTCACCGGTGCTGCAGCTGCACATTTTTCTTATCCATCTTCTCTCCTCTCCTCATTCCTTTTTTCCCCACTTTTCCTTCCTTTACCCATTTTCTTCATCCCATTTCATTCTCAGATCTGACGGAGAGCCCCAAAGCCACTGTAGAACCCTCCTGATGGGCCATCCTTGTCATGAATGGTTCAAAAGATACACCAGTTATGGAGGGTTTACACGCACATGAGTGTGTAAACAACCCCACTGCCCAGCTCTGCATTTCTAAATATTTAATATTATATAGATTCATTAAGTCTTAGGGAGGTGGCTGATATCCTCAAAGGCAGGAACAGAATCCAAGGTGACACTAATGCGTTAAGGACACGGTCAACGGGAGAGAAGACAATAAATCCCAACCCCAGAGAAGAGAAAACCAGATTCACTCCAGTGGGACAAATCCGGAAGCACAGTGGGTGCCACGTTGGGCACAAGTCAGAAAAAGTCCAAGCAAATCCAAAATGCAACAGCATGACTATCCCAGCCAGGGAGTCATCCTCCAGGCCCTCCTCAGGGTTGAGCAAATCTCTACTGGGTTATTTTACTTAAATTTTATGTCTGCAGAAAAACAGAGAAGGTATTTAAAAAAAAAAGTATCACAAGGAAGAAATTGAAGCATTTTAAAAGTGGACGGATAAAGACTGCCAATATTACATTATAGGCATGTATCTCCATCACAAACGCAGACATTCCAGGAATGTCCTGTTGCCTCCTCTTTAAGTTGTCTTTGACCCTGAGCCACCAACCTTCTCCCCATCTGTAGTGCTTGCCTTCCTCCCCAAATTATTCACCAGTTAGATTCTTACACAGATCAATCCTCTCCCTCCAGCCTTCTGAAAACCATATTTAACCATGGAGATGTCTGTTCTCTGGTCCCCAGAGACCCCCCCATCCATCACTGTTGGTGCCCAGTTAATAGCGTGGAAAGCTCACTGAGATGTCAACAGTCCAGCTTGTCCATGTCCCACACGGCTGCCTCCACTGGTAACATCTCCTGGGGGCTACCTAGAGGCTAAGATGCAGGTCCCCACTAACCTTGGGACCCGCCACCTTTATCCTCTTCAGGTTACAAGAGTGACAAGTTCAGGTCACAAGTGTTAGCTGGAGTATGAGCCCTTTGCTGTGTTTGTTTCACCCCATATTTATCCATCTAGCCTTAATCAAGTCATTTTTCAACGTATTTCAAAGCAAGCTTCAAATACCAGTACACTTCTTATATTAAGTAATTAAATTTTACAGCCAACTTTTTTTTTTAGACAAGTGAACTGAGTGTAACCAGAAATCTGCCTTGAATATGAAGATGAGCATTTTCTGATAAGTTGTGGATAAATTTTGAAGAATGGCTCTGACTTCAGGCTGGTTTGAGAAATAACTCAGATCTGAAATCATTTCATATTTAAAATGTGATCACAGTGGTAAAAGGTCATTCACTGCTTCGGGCAACTTTGAACCTTGCTAAGGTGTATGTTGGGTGACAAGGTCGAAAGAAAGGAGAGAAATAAACACATCAAGAGTGTAAGACACCCTCCCCTTACTGCACACATTAACATTTCTTGCACAATCACCCATGGGATATTCTCATTTTGGACTTTTTCCACACCCTAACTTTAGCAAGCTAGTATTGTCTTTTAAGCACCACTTAAAGCAAACTTTTTGAAAAAAGGAAGACTGCCGAGGAGAGGGGGATCCACATTTCTTTGTGGTTGGGATGCAATGTCCTCAATTTAATTATCCTGCAAAGAAGCAGGCTCCCTCTTTATTGTATGCTGAGGCGAGAGCAAAGACAGTACCCCAGTAAATTCATTACACATTTGTAAGATTAAAAACTTATACGCTCAGACCGAGAAACAGGCGCGGCATTACGGGCTTTGTGTGTTCTGGCAATGGTGCACACGGAAGTGAATAATTGCCTT